CTGCTTCTGCAACAGCCCTCGCAGGCCTCGCATTTCCACGAAACATGGAAATAAAAACGGCCTAAGCGTCCCACTCGTTAGTTTGAAGTATTTCTATAGCTTTGGAGCCGGATTCGAGCCGGATCGCAGAAATGCACACGCGATTTTAATTTATTGCGTTTCCTTAGTTTTTTCAATTTGTTTTATTTACATCTACATTCGTTGTTCTTCATTTCTAGCCTTTGTCATCTTCATCACCTTCTATTCGGACTTTGAAGCATGAGCAATACCTCAAATGTTAGGAAATTGCGTTTTGCTTGTATTGTCATGTTTTATTGTCATGTTGTCCGTTTTTATTGTCATGTTCTGTGGGAATGCGCGGAATGTTGCAGAAGCAGCACAGTTGCTCTTGAGTTCTGGCCCTCGTCATCATCTTCGGTTCTTATTTTGCAGCACCTAAAATGTTATCCGCATAAAGAAATTGCGTTTTACTTGTATTCCAAAGCGCAATTACAGGACTTGGCAAAAAGCCAAGAGAGCTCGCGAGCTCTTTGGTGTCTCGCGCATTCCCACAGAACATGACAATAAAAACGGACAACATGACAATAAAACATGACAATACAAGCAAAACGCAATTTCCTAACATTTGAGGTATTGCTCATGCTTCAAAGTCCGAATAGAGCTGCACGCGACACGCGCCGCGCGGACGCACGGTGTTAGCATAAACGTGAGTTTGCGAAATGGGCGGTGTAGCAAGGAATTACGACTTTCCCACGGCCCCGTACTCTGACCCCGTGCAGTTTTGGGCGGGGGGACCACGACACATCGACAGCTGGGGGCTGATAGTCTCATACACCCTCAATGTGTTTGAGCGTACCATGTGTTTTTATACAATCAGCTATGGTTAAACGTCGGTAGATGATGCCTATAAAAGGTTCTGTGGTGTTGTTCATTTGGGTCTGTCTAAGGTTTGTACCTTTGCAGTCCCCACAAATACACAAGCGTTATCCCAAGCATTTGTTGAACCTCATGGCTCAAAAAATGCGTTGTTCCACACACTACCCAGTGCCTTAACCCTCCTCTACAAAAATGTTTGCTTAGCATTGGATCGCCATTTGAGAAGGTTCTTGAACTACAGAGAAAAGGCATGCTGGCTCGGATCCAAACAGCAAGGCGGTGTTTTCCTTGATGAAATACAAATTGAAACCTCATGCAGTTCTTCCAGTGCTTCAGGATGAGGCTGGAAACCAGTACGTCGATGACGCAGCCAAAGCTGAAGCTCTAGCTCAATACTTTGCCTCTGTTTTTATTCCGGACTCTAGTTCACTTGATGAAGTTTCACCTTTGGTAAATACCTTAGATTCCCTTTTGACAGTTGATCCACTAGACCTACGCGTGTTGAAATCACTTAAATGTTCTGTTGCTGCAACCATAGACGGTATCCCGCAAATTGCGTATAGAAAGTGTGCGCATTCTTTGTACAAGCCTTCAAGTATGATTTTCAATATCTCGTTGCTGTTAAATGAAGTCCCTGCAATATGGAAAGAAGCAGTGGTAACAGCTATACCTAAGAAGAGTGATTCTTCTCTTATTGCCTCGTATCGTCCGATTAGCATAACTCCACCCCCAGTCAAGGTGCTAGAAACATTAGTTCGCGATAAGATCCTTGCTTGGCTTGCTTGAAGAAATTCGATTCCGCCTGAGCAGCATGGCTTTTTGAGGGGTGCGTCCACAGTAACCCAGCTGGCTGACTGCGTTTTCGATTGGACCTTAGCCGCCAACTGTGGAAAATCTGTTGATGTGATATATTTCGATTTATCAAAAGCTTTTGATAAAGTAAATCACAGAAAGTTGATCGCAAAACTTCAGCAGCTTGGCATTGAAGGTTCGTTGTTATGTTGGACCCGTTCTTATTTGGAAGACAGAAAAATGTGCGTCAAGGTTGGTAAGGCATTCTCTAAGCATTACTCGTGTATAAGTGGCGTCCCTCAGGGGGCGTCTTGTCGCCACTGCTTTTCTTGGTTACACCTGTGATTTGCCTGCTAGGCTGAAAACACATCAGCTGGTCGAAGTGCGTATTTATGCAGATGATATTAAAGTCTACGGCATCTATGATAACAAGACTCATGCTGATGTGTTCGATGCTCTTTCTAAGTCTATTGCGAATATGATGGAGTGGGCCTCGGCTTGGGATATATCTGTGAACCTTTCTAAAACGACTGTCCTTCACATTGGC